CAGGTGTTTAAATGAGTGACTGAAAGAGCACGCATACAACGTCTCTTCTACAGTATCGGGCCACATTGGCATTCATTGCCGAGACTGCGGTTGTGTGCCCGACTTTCTGTATTGCACTGTCATTAGGCGTCATCGGGACCAGATGATACGAGAAGTTTATGAGGCTGCAGAAATAGAAAGGCTGGGCAGTGCATGTGTCAGCAGGCGTTCGATTGGTTTATCACAAAAAGAAATGGATTTTCTTCGGAACGTTGGCACACGTGATGTTCGCGGCGCGTAATCACGATGATTACGCGGTTGTTATGTGAATTCTGTTTTCTTTGATTTGTCATTTCTGTTATTTGTCAGATACTGCATGCTCAAGTATATATTACGCGGTTCCAGTAAATAAATATTGTTGTAAGTCAGTGCCGCTGTCTGTCTCCTTCTTTTCTTGTCCCTCGTTGTTGGCACTGTTTTTATGTGAATGATTATCAAGTTTGGATGTGTCGTTCACCTTCGTCATCTATTCACGTCACGTAATACCAAATTTAGTATATGTGGAGCTAGCGAAACAGCCGTGAGCACGCAATGAGCGTGGTATGTTGTCATTTTCTTAAATGACGCGCTTGTCAGCATTATCATGTTTGCACCAGTCATATATTTTCGCCATCCATTGACGTCACGTAACCCGAAACTTCGTATTTGTGGAGCTAGCAAAACGGCCGCAAGCGCGTCATGAAGGGCCCAATATACTCCAATGTAGCGCTGACACGCGCGCACGCTGGGCACAGTGACGCTATACGTTAGCAAAGCGCGAGCACTCTATAGTCTGACATCAGGCACAACCGGAGCCACCAGCGTCCGTTGGCGCGGCCCGACCGGCAACCGGCGCGAATTGCGGCATTCTGCATTTCGTGCTGATGCATTACCCAGTCAACACTGCGTCTCCCTCTTTTCGTGACAGAGGGACGCCCGACGCGCTGAAACGCGCCTGCGACAAAGCAACGCAGCGCGGTGCGGGCCTGCGAGTATATGGCAGGAGCGGTGCCTGGCGTGGTAACGCCGGCGTGACCCGATGAAATGAACGCGGCCGAGCACGCGCACCGCGTTACATCGAAATGTATTGGCGCCTTGACTGTGTTATGTAGTCATGTTCTCACATGACACGCATCTCATAATTATCATGTTTGCATCAGTCACATACCTTCATGATCCATTGAAGTCACGTAATACAAAATTTGGCAAATGGGAAGCTAGCGAAACGGCCGTGACCACACCATGAGTGTAGTATATCGTCATGTTGTTACATGACACGCATCTCATGATTATCATGTTTGCAATAATCACATGCCTTCGCCATCCATTCACGTACCGTAACACCAAACTTGGTATATGTGAAGCTAGCGAAACAGCCGCGAGTGTATCATGAGCTTGGCATGTAGTCATGTTGTTACATGACACGCATGTCATAATTTTCATGTTAGGGAGGGTCGCTTGTGTTCGGCATGCAATCACGTCATACCATACCAGTTTTGCAACATGCCTTGTGAACAAAACCACCGCAAGAGCTGCAGGACCATAAAATATAAGTGATGACATTCATGACATACGTGTCATGATTTTCATGTTATGACTAGTCAAATATATTCTTCACACAGTCATGTTGTACCATACCAAGTTTGGTATCGATACCATTATCGTAACGGCCAGGAAAGCTAAAAGTCATGGGCGACTAGATAGATAGATAGATAGATAGATAGATAGATAGATAGATAGATAGATAGATAGATAGATAGATAGATAGATAGATAGATAGATAGATAGATAGATAGATAGATAGACAGATAGATAGATAGATAGATAGATAGATAGATAGATAGATAGATAGATAGATAGATAGATAGATAGATAGATAGATAGATAGATAGATAGATAGATAGATAGATAGATAGATAGATAGATAGATAGATAGATAGATAGATAGATAGATAGATACCCTGAAAGTCGCTGAAGTTCGCAAAGAAATGTTTCGCATTTAAAAAGAATGCGCGCGTATGTTTCATTTTTCTTAGGGAATTGCAACAATATGCAGTGCTAATGTGCCCGCGTTTCGCATGCGTTCGTGTCTCCACGGTTAGCGCATCGAGCAGACGCCAGCCCTCGAAACAAAATTAACGGTCCCACGCGTTCGAGCTCTCAATACGCTCACCTGTTATACTGTACTATATTCTAGGCACTATGGTTATACCGTGTCTAAACCAGTGTTTTTAAACGAGCACGCACCGAGGAATTATAGGATAATCCCACCGGACTTGCGTCACGAAAAAGCCGTGGCGCTGTCTTGGTAGGCAAAAGACGCCCGGCCTACCACAGTTTCTGCTTTGGTTTTCAATGGTGCATGTGGTGTTCTGAGTCAAGCAATAAGAAAAAAAAACGGTATGTCGATGAGCTGCGTCGCGGATGGATATGAGTGGCGTCTCTCAACTTAGTTTTGCTTGCTGGCCAACATCGCAGCCCTCAGCGCTTATGGCTTTCACAACGCTTATGACGTCTCACAACGTCGTTTTGTTGGCGCACGTCACAGCCCTCAGTGCTTATGGCGGGAGTTACGTGCTGACGTCGCTATTATTTTACCCATAATGTCGACGTCGGCCTACCTGCGTTCACAAACATGGTCTATACCGCAGAAACAAGGACATCATGCGCACGTGACCATTCGCTCGGACGCTACGCGGGGCGAGCGGCAAAGGTTTCGAGCTGGCCTCCTCTCATCCTCGTTTCGTTCCGCTCAAAATTACCGGTTCTCTCAGCTCGTAATGAATCTATTGCGAAAATTCCGGTTGCTTATTGCTGATCTTCAAACACACTACAACCGCCAGCGTATAACTAGAGTTTGTTACGGGGCCTCGCGAGTGGTTCTATACTGGGAGATGGTGTAGTTTTTCCAGTCTTCTTTTCTTAGAGAACCACGGGGGAGCTTTGTGAAGCTGCGTCAAGAATAAATTGCGAACGCTTTACTATATATGACAGACCTATAGGCTCTCCCGATTACAGTAGAGGTGTTTAGATGAAAGTTGGTAATGATTTAGTGTACTTGGTATACTCTATACTATGGGAGCGCGTCAAGTCGTCCCGTGGACCTCACACTTGATGAGGCCGTGTCGACAAAAATTGATGCTCCTAAACTAAGCGTAGCATGTGTTCAGAAACATTTATTGTCACAGACATTAATAACATTTCAACAGAACATTTTCTTGTGAACTTCGCTGCAAGTTTTGATCAAGTATTATGAGCGCTAAGGTCAAACACCAGCAAACTAGCCTCGGTGATTCCTTCGCGTGGACTCACAAACGGGTGCCGCTAAGCATTCATCTGTCATACGCAATGAAAATAAGTTATGATCTAATAATGAACATGAATTAAATTATTTTAGGTGTATCTGTAAAGCACACTGCCTTTTTTTATTGTGGAGCGCATTATATGTAACAAATAAATGCTGCGCGTTTTTAGACAAATCAATATTTTTGATGAAAATGCTATGACAGTCAGGCCCCTTTCATTTTTCCTAACAAGCTCAACGCCGTTATGGAAAGCATTGCCACACTTCAAGTTGCACTGAAATGAGTAATTAGCAAAAAAATCTTGTTAATCAGCTTTGTAATTAACTTGAGCAGGTTTAATGGAAACGTAGTGTGGCGTGGCTATTCAGAGCATAACTATTTTTTTTTCGAAAATCCTAAAAGCCACACACGTAATTTGATATATTAGGGTGCCTTAGCTAGTTTGGTAATACCAGAGTCCTTCAATGCTTTTCTGGTCACGAAACTCCGGCCGAAGTTTCATTCAGGGACAAAAGCTGCCGCTAGGATCGCCCCTGTTAGCGTGAAGGCTTCGCCGGCGGCCGGCGACGCTTGCGGGCCGGCTGTTTCTCCGTCGGCAATGCGCCTAATTTCATCTGCTCTTCATTTCCACCTGTAAAAACGCGACCTGTAAAAACGCGAGCGACGCGAGCGAAGTGTGCGTGTTTTTGATTCAGTTGACGCTTAGCTTAGCTGTGAAATAGAGGCAAGGCCACGCGTGTTACTGAGTCGTATATGTTGCAGCGTTCGTTCGTTGCGGTAGTCACGGCCGCTACGTTCTCGCTTTGAGAAGGAGGACATCTGGCGTTTTCGATTTTTGAGTAGTCTTTGCAGTTTCCTGCATTTGAGTTAACTAGCACCAGATTTAAATCGGTATATACAGCCCTGGGCGACATGCTGCGCTTAGCAAATAGGTGTGCAAACGTACAGCACGTTGGGTTAGCGCTGTGTCTGCGCGATTTTATAGCGCGCTAATAATGTACAAAAATAACCTAGGTTTGGAAAGTGAGCATCAACATGATGAAGAAAAACGCTCACGAAATGGAAGCAGCATAATGAGCGCGCGTAGGAGTAAATGCTACACACTTGAGCGACTTTCCCGGCTGTCAACATAGGTATAGGGTGTCAACAGAAAAACTCGTATGGTCAGTGTCTGACACACTCGTCCCACCAAAACGACAAGTTAATTGATTACTTGCTTATGAGGTTTAACGCGCTGACGCTATGCAGGCAATCGGGCGCGCGCCGTAGTGTAGCCAGAGTCTTTCAAGCATTGAAGGACTCTGGTGTAGCTCTCCGGAATAATTTTAACCACCCAGGTATCTTTAACATGCGCGGGAATCTCTAAAACACAGGCATTTTCTCTTTTCGCCTTCATCAGAAAAGCGGCTGGGAACCCGCGTCCTTGGGCTCATCATCATCAGCACAGCGCCCTAGCCCCTGAGCCACCGCGGCGGGGACACTAAAAAAAATTAAAAAAGAAATACAGGCAAAGCTAGCCATGCTCCGCTTTGCAAATTCGAAATACCTGATTGGATAATCAAAATGTCGCCGCCGTGGATTTTGGTTCCGCCACACAGATGACAGTAACCTGCTGGCCACTTGCTGATCGTCGCAGGCAGCTGCCAAGCGCATGCAAATGACTAGAAAACGCGCCGCGGCTGTGGTGCAAGTGTTTATTCATACAAGTTTACGGCAATAGCATGGCGGATAAAGGAAATAAACAACGTCACACAAGCAACTAGGAACACAAATGTGCAAGTGTTTTTTTGTCACTAGCAAACACAAAACACAACAGTTGGGCTTTACATAGCATGACAAACAGAACATCTGCTACCCATGGGGCTTGTTGCCACCATTTGCTGGGCAGTTTGCTCGCCGCGTCGCTCGTGTCAGCTTGTTTTTTTCCCTGGTGTAAAAGTGCAGGCGGCACCTCAAGAAAAAATGAACAACCTCTGCTGTGGTACCCACATAGTGCAACCTACAGCGCACACCAGCAGAAGCAATGCGGCTGTCGAGCAAAACTTGGTCAACAATGTTCGCATACACATCGGCACATGCAACTGTGTCCACAGTCAGTTCTTCAACATGTCCTTCCACAATGCGCAACAGGCTGAGAAGCTGGGATGAGGGCACTTGCAGGAATCCTCTTGACTTCTTCTGGATTAGGTCAGTTGGCTCTCGTGTCTGGCTCTTGAGTGTTCCCACGCAGTCAGTGCAGCTTATCGTTGAAAACTTCTTTACCACGTAACCGGCAAGATAATCAAGAATACACTCTTTGGTGGAGAGCGTAACGTCAGGCACGGATGCATTGTTCACTGCCTCTCCCGGCTCCTCAAGAACGTCATCAAAGAGGACCGCCAACATGTCAATCTGCAAAATACATTCCAAGTTTCAAATCTTGCAATGTATAAGTTGAGATTCGTAAATGCAAAAACACATTATGTTTCATTTGGTTATTTGGTCATTTGTGTAGTGAAACTGCTCCTGAAAAAAAGAAACTAGAGCTAATAAATAAAAGCAAGGGGCACGTTACCTGACTGGAGGCAGGTTTTTCCTTGTCAAAGAGGCCCTGGAGCTTGAGCAACAGCTGGGGTCCATCTCCCTCGACCGAGGCCCGTTTTGGCGGCCGAACTAGGTTGTTTACAGAGAGCATCCGATAGATGAACAAAAAATGTTGCACAGTCGGCTGCCCTCCGTCACCAGCAACATGCCTGACGATGCCGAAAAACCTCTAGAAAGAAAAAATCAATTTATCACAACAATGAGAAATTCATAGCACATTTATACACATAAAAGTCATCATGTTTACCTCTAGAGGATCTTGTCCGAAGTTCCCAACGAGAACGTAACGAAACCCAGACAACAGCAAGCTCTCGATGAGTGCAACTGAGCTATGCAGTGTCAGTCTGAGGGCTCCACATGTCTGCTTACTCAGAAAGCAGACTTGCCTCTGGGTCGGTAATGTCTTGATGTATTTCTCCCAGTTGTCCAGCCATGCAATGCTGTCCTTCAACACCTGGAATAAAATTATGCTTCATCTATAGTACACGAAAAACACTTCATAACACATGTAATAATCTCACAGCAATGTGTTGCGCTTCGTTGAATCGAACATGGTCTGGCCTCCGAGAGTTCAGGCAGTCGAACAGCTTGTTCAATGTTCTTGTGAATTGCGATGTTGCAGCCGACCCATGGAGCTTCTTGCAGTCTTCCTGCTCGCTATAAAACTCCATGGCCGAAGCAGTACTCTCACTGAACAGCTGTAAAATGTGTGGAAAAAAAGGATTTTAAGTTTACTTCCCAAAACGTGTGAGCAGATGTTTTTGAAATACACTTTGCACTGAACATAGCTGCGTGCATGACTTGCCTGGACAGCCAACTTCACGCTCATCTTTTGGAACGCATTGGGGAAAATATGGGCTTTCGTTAACTTCGGTACAGCCCGGAGTCCAGCCTGTTCTTCTTCATAGTCCAGTAAGTCCTTGTAGTGACAGTGGAACACCTCCTGTCCTTGAGGGAGCGGCAACATAAGGACAAGTGACAAATTTTTTTTTTAAACTGAATAGTTTATGCACAGGTCAAGGCATTCACATGCAACTTTTTTTTACTTACCAAAAACTTGCCCACTTTGAGCAAGTTGTTTCTGATGCACTTAAATAAGTGCGGTGGATCAATTACAACGTGGACTTGCTTTGAGGGCTCACACGGGTGTTCAAAACACGTTTGAAGCTTGTGCATGTCCCCGTTGACACCTTGAGAGAAAAACAGTTTAATAGTACACTTGTTTTTCTACTACATCACTAACCACAGCTAAATAAAATTTGAAAAGACGTACCCAGAGATCTCAAGGCTGATTGGTTTGATGTGGAGTTGTCGCAGGTCACTGCGTCAACAACAACACCAGCGTTTGTAAGGTGAACAATGCACTGCAAAAGGAGCTTCGCCACGATTGATCCTGGGGCAGCACCAGAAGCACAAAATGTGCCCACAGTTTGTGACCACCCTCCCAGAGAAGGCCGAAACAGAAAGACCAGCACGTGGTCGCCGTCTTTGCCATGGTCACCTGGTCGTGTGTGTTCGGCGAAATCCACCTTGCCCAGCAGTGCCATGTCCGACTCGCGAATGTGGACGCTTTTTCTGACGCTCATTTCATCGAACATGAGCACTCCTGGAAAGTTTTGGGTAGGTTAACATCTTGTCTCAATTGCGCTGCTGAATATAATACAATTATAAAAATGAGTACTGCTTCTTACCTCGACGCTCTCTTTCTGGAACTGCTTCTAGCTTTTCACACAGAACCGTGAACAAAGTGCTGTCGAAGCCAAAATCAGCTTTCCGATTTCTGGGGTAGCCATAGAGGGTGCGGGGATTTGGAAGGGGCAAAAATTCATTTTCATGAAGAAAAGTGTAGACTGCTGTGGACTTTATCTTTAGCAGCAAGCAGTCATAAATCCACTCTTTTTTGTACCTGGAGAGAATGAATTGCAAATTTGTTTTCCACAATGAGCGTGTTGGAAACTATTCATGCAAAGCAAAAAAATAATGAGAATGGTGTTATAAAAACTGAAGAAAATATATTTGTCCAAACAAACCTGCAATTTTTCCCGAAATTAGAAATAACACTACACAAAACGGCCAAACCAATGTCTGCCTCAATAGCATATTGTTTTGCGGTACAACAGATACAAATACATGATGAATAAATGAAGGCTACACCTTGAGATAACATTTTCAAACGCAAAAGGGGCAATCCAATAGCAATGTTACGTGTGTGATGGGGTATTTGGAACTTGCCGCGCAGCTGTTGCAGACTTCGCGTTGGCTTTCATGAGCCAGTGGTCAAAAATGAGCTTCTCGCGAGCCGAAAGCTTCTGAACATCTTGGTGCGATCTTCTGCTCCTATTCGCTTGCACTGTCAATTTCGCAATCTTCACTTGGCACAAACGAAGTTGCTGCTTAGTGCTTCGAAGCTGGTCTTTAACTGCATGGAGCTCTGAGATGGAGCAGAAATTTCTCTCTGTCTGGCATGCCATCTCTGTGCAGCTTCCAGTGCTTATCACTCCACCTGTCAAACGAAGAAATATGGATCAATATAATGCGACATCACGCAGCACACAGGCAATACAGGCTCTCAACATAGTGAAACAAGAAAACAAGGCAACGCGAATGGAGGCTTACCATCATCTCCGGCTGCTTCAGGATCGCAGGGCTCTGTGCTGGAGCTCACAGAAGCTGCAGTGCCATCGTTGTTCGGCGACGAAACGCGACGACGTTTTGCAGGCGGATTTTCTCGCTGTGAGCGCGACCGTGGCTTGGGCTTCGTAAGATACGCCGGCAGGTTTTCAAATATCCGGGGTATGGCACCGACGCGGAGCTTAGGCTTCTCGCGCTGCAGAAGCACAGATTGTCCACTTATTCTGAACTCATCGGCTCGAATAATGTCCGTGGTGTCGAAATGTTTCTCGCACACACGAACGGCCTTCGACTCGAAGTTGAGAGCGCCCGTCTCCTGTCGTGGAATGGCTCGCTTCCACCTGTCGCGTTGTTCGCGGTCGCTTGGGAGGCAGAACAGCGAAGCTTTTTCTGTACAACTCCGATAGCCAGAGCGGCAACCAGGTACGCAGCACGTCAGAGGCATGGTAGTTCACATAGTTTGCCGTCCGTGATGAGTGTAGACAGCTATACCACACAACAAACAAACCAGTAAGCTCACGCTCCAACGCACTGCAAACGCTGCAAATGCGGCCGCCGCCGTCCAAGCCGCCTTCACCAGACTCGTAGCGCCACCGCGCGGGAGCTTTGATCCCCATATGAAGCTCTCCCATAGCGTTACGGAGAAGTTTCGTGACCAGAAAAGTATTGAAGGACTCTGGTAATACCGTGCCGTGTATACCGTATACTAAAGGGGTCTACCATTCGCCAGTGGCCCGCGCCTTTCCAAGCATTGAGCTTTCGTGTCTTTGATAAATGGTATTTGCATTATTTTTCTCGCCTATTTTGATTAATCACACTTGCTTCTGGAGAGCTACATAGACGGGACTGGTTTCAAGTATGTTTTGCCTGAGGCACGCCGAAAGGTCACTATGTGTTGAAGCATCACCGTACATCAGAAACACTATTTCATGTGCTGTATATAGGCCCATGTGCTCAGATATGGGTGAACGTTAAAGAACCACAGGTGGTCGAAATTTTCGGAGCCCTCCACTACGGCGTGTCTCATAATCATATGGTAATTTTGGGGCGTTTTCCCACATGTCATCAAATCACACTATTTCAGAATTTCAGTAATTCTGAACATCGGTATTGTGAAAATGTACGTCAAGTTCAGTGAGGATATGACCAATATTTGAGGTATCTTCACTACCCCTACCCTAATTGTTGGACTAAACAAAGTGGACGATTGGGACAGCTATTCATTATTCGCAGCAGATGGCGCACAATGTCAGTTAGTCTACTCGTTTGCACTGCGCATTGGTTGAATTTGGAAATATTTTTGTTTTACTGCTCTTTAACAACTAACTTTACTGTTTCCACACACACACACACACACACACACACACATATATATATATATATATATATATATATATATATATATATATATATATATATATATATACACCTTAAAAAGACAATGGCCCCCATGGCACACATATCTTAAAAAGAGAAAAGAACACAAAAGTGAGCCTCGCAACTATCTGCATGAGAGTGCGACACTTCAACAGTAGCTCACGAGGGACGGGGGTAAGGAGGGATTAAAAGAATAGGATTAAAGGTATAGAGATAGAGAGGGGGAAGGAGAGAGCGTGGCGCAGGGACAGCGACACCCAGAAAGAAAGAGAAGATAGGAAAGATGGTCGTGCGCCTTCGCGATCGTGTCTATATATATATATATATATATATATATATATATATATATATATATATATATATATATATATATATATATATATATATATATATATATATATATATATATATTGTAATGTACTAGACAGAGAACAAGACACAACGCCCGATCCTGGGCCAGCTGTTCTTATTCTGCTTTTTCTTCCTCTACCTTCCCCTAGCTGCCTACGTGCCTGAGCCCCAGCGTCTTTCTTCGTCTTGACACTCGGCCATGACTGCGCGCGCGCGGAGCTGGCGGCAAAGTTTCTGCTGGGTGGGCTTGGCTGCATCGTGGTGGTCGTCCCGAACCACAGTGCAACATGGAGTGACGGTCTGGGGGAAGCGTCTCCGTTGGGCACACTCGCTGCCTCGAGCCGGTTGGTCTACGCCACGGTGCGCCTCTGCTTGAAGATCTGTCAGTGTGTATTCTGGTGGGCGGAATCGGCTTTGTCACTGCGGTTGAACTCGTCCATGGTACAAAGTTTCCTGACAACTCGTACAATACCACTCAGGCGGACGGCCCTGACTGTTCCGGCAAGGTCGCAGAGTAGCCTGGTAATGCTGGTGTTTGTCCCACTGCCGTTGGTGGACTGAACTGCAGCGGGACGCTCTGTGAGGCAGCCGTGTGGACGTTTGTGCCATTTCTCGAAGCGAGTTGCGACGCAGCTCATGGTTGGGCATCAATACCACAGCAGAACTCTCTGAAGTTGTCCAGCTGGTGGCTTCTGGCGAACTGTCGCGTGCAGACTTGGTGTCCTGGGAGGGAACAGCACGAGGGCTGGTCCTCGACAAGTTCTCAATGGCAGTGGCCTCAGCCTGGCTAGGTGTTTGGATTTTCTCAAAGGAAACATCCCTTGGGAGCCAAGTGTCTGTGCGGCTGAGAGTATGTGCATCTTTGAAAATGAGTGTATGAGTCGTCTGCAAACATATCTGTGTCAGGTAATGGCTTATCTTGTTCGCATCTTCGGAAAGGCCTGCTTTGTGAAGCGGTAAGGAGTGCATTTCGTTTCCGACGATCATGGTCTGGTGGGGTTCAGTTGTGTCTGGTACGATAGATGTGAGCGCCTCCATGTCCTCAAACGACAACGAGCGCGAGGACAGTATCTCCCGAGGAAGGTCTGGTGGTGGTATTCCCGGGTCTAATACCGATGCAGAGTTCACGTCCTGCAGAGAAGAATTGTGGTCACTTTGGTCAGGGTCAGCAGCAGGAAACTCCTCGATATACTTCGTTTCTCGAGAGGCGTCTTTTTGCAAGGCGGAAATGCTCTCATGGTCAGTTACTGAATCATTTAAAGCGTGCAGACCCGCTTCCGTCTGGTCAAGGATGAGCATGGTGAAATGCACAGGCACGTGCATTTGATGACGCGGTAGAATGTCCAGTAAGATGGAGGCTGGTGCCTGAGCGTCTACCGAATGGTCTGACGGCTCCGGATGGCGTTCGTTGGGGCCTGTCGCAGGGCGTTTTGCAAAACTTGCCGCGAGAGACCTACCGGACACAGGCTCACCATCGGACCGCTGCTCCATGACAGCAGAAATGCCTGTGCAAGGCAGAGTTACACGATTGTGATTGTTCCTTACATCTTGGTCACCGATAGATGACAGGATGGTAGGGGCTCGAATTGCATCCTCTAGGTCGGGCTTTTCCGGAGTTCCGTCCTGAGAGAAGGTCGAGTTGCATGGGCAGGTGGCACAGGGAATCAGACTGAAAGCAGCTATGAGCTTGAAGCTCCACTCCGCCCATGACTGCTGCTTCCAACCTTCATACCGGTGCCATGCCGCTGCACCTTCCCGAAGACGGTCAATAGCCACATACCATTTCTGATTTTCTGTCCAGGCCTCGCGCATTACTAAGCGTTGACGGTTGCCACCCAGCTGTCGGCGTCGTTCCGGACCCCGAAAAATTCCGGTAGTTCGCAGACGGCTGGTGATTGTGAGGTGGCAGGTGGCAACGCAGAGATTACCGACGCGAAGCAGTTGAGCTGGTGTGAGAGCTCGATCAGAGAATACCAAAGCTCCCTGTGTTGCTCCCGTGCGCTTGTCTCAAGGTCGTATGAGGCAGCTACATCCAACACTGCGTTAATGTCACACAATGCTGGCAACATTGTAGGAGCTCGCTCGGCGATCAACGCTGTCAGTTTGTTAGTCTCGGCGCGGAGCAGTGCGATGGTACGCCGCAGCTCCACGGCACTGTCGCACGAGGCTTCTGAACCACTTTGGTTCGTGTGCGTGAAGTATGTGGTTCTAGTAGTACTCACGGTGGTGACACGCACGTCCAAGGAAGCAAGCACAGCGTTTCTTGGCGGCTCGTATGTTGGAAGAGTACCGGACAGGGAATGCAGGCCGTGGGAAGCTTGAACAGCATTCCCAAAGGACAGGAGCCTATGCGTATTACGGCTGCGAAGTGGTAGCATAGTGTCCATTGGGTGATGCCCTGGTACCACAGAGGAAGCATGGACACCATCCACTGATGGTCCGATGAGCTGTTGAAGCGGCGGCCGGGTTGTTGACTACATCGCCAAAGAAGCGTGAACGGCGTTCCTGGATGGAGAAGCCCGCACTGCCGACGAACAACGAAGACACGTACCGGTGGCTTCCCGCAGAGGGTTCACTTGTCAGCTTGCGCTGACACCAGAATCTATAGCCAAGGATGCGTGGACGGCGTCCCTTGCGAAATGGTACCGGTAACGTGTACCGCAGCCGCCGAGGAGGCCTTGACGCCGTCCCCGAATGGTGGTGGCAGTGGCGGCAGGTGAACAGCTACCGAGGAGGCCTTGACGCCGTCCTCAAGCGGCGCTTATCGCGGCTGTCCTGGATGACGAAGCCGGGACGTAAGACTTCTTCTTCGTCGACTGTGCCATTGTAATGTACTAGACAGAGAACAAGAGACAACACCCGATCCTGGGCCAGCTGTTCTTATTCTGATTTTTCTTCCTCTACCTTCCCCTAGCCGCCCACACGCCCGAGCCCCAGCGTCTTTCTTCGTCTTGACAGTATATATATATATATATATATATATATATATATATATATATATATATATATATATATATATATATATATATATATATATATATATATATATATATATATATATATATATATATATATATATATATATATATATATATATATATATATATATATATATATATATCACATACACATCCTGGTCTCGGGGGCTCTGCTTATGGCAATACCAGTTCTCCCGGCTGTTACCGAAACCTTACCAAGTAGCAGAGGAATATAGAAATGGTCCATTGATCAGCTTTATCTCCGTCGTTTGTTGGATTGCGCTGAAATTTCTTTAGGACAACAGATATAACATGGTTTGTTGGAGCAAACGGAATTGTTTTCAGCACGAAGTCGACAGGGTACGTGCCAATAGAGTATATACGTGCCGTTTCATGATTACGACAATTTTAAATCGACTCTGCACGCATAACAAAAAGCTCAGGGCTTCTCGACGTTCGTTATCGAAACATGGCCATCATCTCACATTCCTGTGAATACCTGCTTCTTGTGACGTAATCAGGAATGAAGAGGCTGACGCTAAAACTAGAATATCCTTACATAATGCCTCGGAAGTGTGCAAAGTACGTTTTCACGATAACACTAACGCCTTGCTTCGGCGCGCGGTGCGCAAATCCACATTAGTACACTGAAACAAAGCAGAACGGCTGCACAGGCTACTGCGTAAATAGGAACTGGAAATGAAGTTCCGCATGCCTCGCATACTAATGCGAAACATCGCACCTCCGCTCCACTGGATTCGCCTTCGTTAGCCCTTCACAATGCGTGATGCTCGCGTGATCGGCTGCACTGACAGAAGTTCAAATTGTGCTCAGTGTCAATCGCCAGGCACACTTGAACCTATAGTTCATACCTTTCCAGCGTACGCACGCGAACGTCAAAAACTGATCTCACTGATCGCACGGTTTCATGGCAGATCATTAACCGATAACGTTTGTGTTAGGTCGCCGGCCTGATGTCAACAGTACAAATGTGGTTATAGGAGTGGTCGTAGCCTTCTAGAGTCGAAGCCAACACGGCCTCGGTCGTAGAACGTGATGAAACTCTATCTTCAACTCATTAGCTTACCGCCATCATTTATTACTCTTTTGTTTCCCTATTTACCGTCCCTGTGTAGAGTAGCAGGCCAGAGCGAGCTCATTCAAGCCGATTTATCCGCCACTCTGTAAATGAATTTTTTCTCTTCACAACTCCACTGAATAAGAAATCTGTTTTGCACTGTTCTACATCCGACTTCACCACGACGCTACATTGCACTTTGATGAATTCATTCTCTTTTATATTCCCCCGTTTCTTTGTAAGCTGCACGTACACTGCTCGAAAGAAAGTGCCCCCTTGCTTCTCAAATAAAGCGGAAATGCACACCTTTATGAGCGCCTACGAACTAAAGCAGCCTGCGATTGCGTGGGTATCGGATTCGTGTAGAGCACAGGTATCTGGTAGAGCCACGTGACTAGGCTATCGGCACATATCTCACTAAATTTTTTTTTTTAGGAACAGAAGCAGAAAGTGATCATGAGGGAACATGTATGTCGACAATAGCAGTATCTGAATCGCCATCATTCTATCATCGATTGCATAACTTCGCATTAAAAATTTCCTTCGCAGTATAGGATAATTACTAACGTTACATACTATCATTAAATGCCGTCATTACGGCATCAAAAAAAACTCTCTAACCCTCGTGATCGTGACAGCGCCACTGTCAAAGCTGCAACTTATCAGCTGATTACGTCAAGCACGCCTAGAATTGCGCTTCCTCGCTGAACCTTGTGCTTTTATATTAAATGCACTGATCCACCATTCTCCCAACGAATGAAGATAAGGGAAAAGCATGACGGTTGTGTTTGTCCTCAGTTACCATAGGCGCAGTGCGCCGGAAACGATTGACTCGGGCCGTCTTTACCAGGCGCATACGTCACCCACAAAGTTTATCGCGACGAAGTCCACTAGCAACCACTTATTTACTGCCTCTTTCATTACGTATGTGCACCTCAAATCGGACCATATATTAGGCTCCAACGCCTAACTATACAAAATCTGACGATGCATGCTCTTTCCCGTCTGTTAAGGTCACGCTGCAAACACAGTGAGGCAGCGCACGTGAGCTAATTGCCACACGTGACTACACCACTCCAGACAAACAGAACAACGCGAAAACTTCCATTGTGTTTCCTCTTCTTGCATCGCCGATTTTTACGATTATCCTTCCTATCTTCCTCGGCGCTCGTCGGCAAACAGGCATTACCAAGAGGGGCCAGTTTTGTACCAGACTGGCCTCACGTTTCGGGCCTTATCAGCCACGTCGTTATCGGTGAAGCACGCGGTGCGAGCCCGGGAGGTGCGCAATGTCCGTATCGGTAAATCAAACAGTGGCTCGGAGCCGATACCGCAGTTCGACCGCGAGTCATAGGTGCCCGAACAGGCGTCAGGAGGGACTCCATTGTTGTGTGACCACGCGCACGCCCCCCTCTACGAGTCGCACTCGAGACGATAAAAGGCGGGACGCGCGTCCGACTTTCGTAGTAGTGCCGAAGGAGCGGTGAACTCTGCCTACTTGCCTGTCCCTGGAGCGCGCGCCACACAATCGAGGAGGAAACGATGGCATCCCCACGAGTCGGCGGTCTGTCGCAGGAACTGAAGCCTGCCGATGCGACCGTGCAGGAAATCTGCGATAAGGTATTATACAAAGCTGTCTTCGTCGCTTTCCGCTAAGTGCCCGCAGGAAGCAGGATTTCAAGTTGAATATTGTTTTGCACAGCGTTACCCTTCTAACGATGTCTATTCCCACCCACCATGCGCTTAAGTATCTGGACGTGCGCGGAATTCGCCGCCTCTTCTAGGAAGTAGGTAAAGCGAAATACTTTGGCATATCGTTAACGATGTCCCATTAACCCGCGTGCATGCGCACAGGTGGCGCACATCGCGCGCTTTCTGTTAAGAGAAACCAGTTTCGGTAATGGCAGAACGTCGGGTTAGCGTAGGTAAGGTTAGGCATAGCATAGTCACCGAATTAAAGATCGATTTAAGGGACACAATTACAGCGGGTCGAGCCTGTAGCACAATATGGGCTGATCTAGTTTAGAGCTGGGCCTACTGGTGTGGACTGTGGGAGTGACTGCAAAGCAGGAGAGAAATAACATTTAGCTTGTTCGTTCAACTAACTTACGCGTTGTTTCTAACACAATCAGGGGCGAATTGAGACGCACTGAGTTTAATATTCTACTACTTAGCTCGAAACACTGGAGAGGAAACAAAAGCATACGTCATTTGTATACTTGTTTATTGGTTTTGATACGCATTTGGATCGCACGTTACGCTAATGAATTGACGTCACTCACATTAGAAGTACTGTTATTATTCTTCCGTCGCGAAATACAAAACCATTGCCCGACTTCCGTGTTTCTAGATAAACTCGTCTCAGGTTCCCTTTCATTCAAGTATAGCTGCCATAATCGTTAGCATGTCTGTCTTCTCGAATTCCAGCAAGCATGCATGCACATCGAACATTTTGTATGAGGCATGTTGTCCCTATACAAGCTCCAAACAAGCCCTGCCACGGTGCTCTAGTGGCTAAGGTACTCGGCTGCTGACCCGCAGGTCGCGGGATCAAATCCCGGCTGTGGCGGCTGCATTTCCGATGGAGGCGGAAATGTTGTAGGCCCGTGTAATCAGATTTGGGTGCACTTTAAAGAACCCCAGGTGGTCAAAATTTCCGGAGCCCTCCACTACGGCGTCTCTCATAATCAAATAGTGGTTTTGGGACGTTAAACCCCACCAATCAATCAAGCTCCAAAGAACATAACCTGTTCTTTTCTTTCAGCCTCTATACATAGGGCAGCACATAGGAAACAAAATTGAATTACTGGATTTTACGTGACATAGCCACAGTGCCATTAGAAGGCACCCCATAAAGTTCAAGACTCCGGATTAATGTTGATTACCCGGACTTTTTTAACGTGCACTCGGGTTCTGGCACACAGAGATTCGTTTCTTCTTCACTAACATCTATCGATTTTGCTGCTTCGACTGGGAATGGAACCCGCACCCTCGTGCTCAGCATTGCAACAACTTAAAGCTAAGCCACCCCAGCAAGTAGCGTTAAGGAAAGAAAAAAAAAGTAAGAATGACTACGGAGTACGCAAACGGCTTTTGCTCGTGTTTCCGTAATTGAAAAGCGTACACTTTTGTCTGAGCCACGCAACAAACGAAAATGTACGTAAACGTAGAATAGTAAAATATCAAGTGCTAAGTGAAAGCACTCTCGACCACTCCACGTCGTCAACGCGAACCTTATCGAGTAGCCAAACACTGGACGCGCTAAGAGCGTTAATCTCTTCGGTCAACACGGCTGCGAAACGCTAATATTGATAAAATCAGCGTACGATAAGGACTGTTATATTTAGTAGAGCACACTTCTTAGACGTACGTGCGCGGCAAACTTTGACGAATGCGGTAGCTTTTTACGTTCACTTTCAATCAGCCGTAGTCACCACGCTTTTTCAGACTTAGTCGCTGTGATACACAGTTCAATTGGCAACGGTCGATGAACTGTTTCTCACTTGTTTACGACCTATTTCGTCTCTATATCATCTATAACTACTTCTTTCCCCATCGCCTCTTGTATACATGCTGAGAAAGAAGAAAATAGATATTATAACTTTTTTTTTCCTTCGACCTCTACATATGATCTCGCCAAACACTCCTGTAAACGAAAGGGAGTTAAGGTGTATCCTTAAAAAGGAACCATGTACTCTTCTTCCTTCTTTTCTTCTTTCTTTCTTCTACGCTAGGCTATAGTCAATCGAACCCTTGCTTAGTTAACCTCCCTGCATTTCTTTTTCTCGTTTCTCTTTGCACCTCTCTCTCTTTTTCAGTCTCGATCATCATGGACTCTTTATACTTTTTTTTCTTGCTTTTTTATGACCCCCTTTTTATTACCATGTATATTGTAGCAAACTGACAACCTTATCCGATTAACTTCCGAGTCTTTCTTCTTACTTATCTCTTTCTCTCTCTCAATTTCTGTTTAACACTGTTACAGGTCCGCTCGGATGTCGAGAAAAAGCTGGGCCAGAATTTCGCGGAGTTCACGCCTGTCAACTACCGCACCCAGGTGGTGAATGGCACCAACTACTTTGTCAAGGTAAGCATATATAAGAGCTCCCTTGCACGCCCATCTTCGTTCCCGTTTTCCAAATTTCGTATCGTGTAAAGTAAGTTGCGGTGCATACGGACTCCAACGCGACAAAAAGAATGAAAACTGAAGAGAGACCGTAATATTATGACCACTTCTAGCCTCTGGATAAAAAACAAACAAGCAAACAACGAAATTCGGAGCAAATTCACAAAATTTGTCTTTCTAAGAACGTTTCCCCATTGACTAGCCGGATTCGCTCATCATATGCCCCGTACACTGATATACATGGACAGGTGGTGGTGGTGGTGGTGGTGGTGGTGGTGGTGGTGGTGGTGGTGGTGTTGCAGCAGGCGGGGTTAGCCTGGCCTGCATGGCCGGCAGTTGTTCCGCCTGAGCATCTCCTTAATTTGGAAAATGTCACCACGTGTCAGACAGCCCAGTGTCTCGCAGGAAGACCAACAAAGTTCGTTGCACGTTCCTCCTAGTTGCCGCGGGTCCTTCAGGAAAGATGATGTCATCAACTGTCCGGTGCCTATGACAGCCTTTTCGCAAGGTGCGGATCATCGCTGCTCTTTGCGCATCAAACTGTGGGCAAAGCCAAATGAAATGTTCAATATCCCCGATGTCACCACAGAAGGCACAGAACGGGGAAGCGTATCTCCCAGTCTTGAATGACCAGGCCGGGGTGTATGCGGAGCCGGTTCTAATGCGGTACAACAGCGTCGCTTCTTCACGAGAAAGTCCATGAATTACACATGCTTGGTGTGGAAACCTGTAGATCGCCTTGAAATGATTGCGTATCACATCTTTGTTGTTCTGGTAAGTCTTGGGAGTTCTTACTTTTGGAAACGATGTACGTGCTTCGCATGCAAGGGCATCAGCCTTTTCATTGCCCTCAATGCCAACGTGGGATGGGATCCACTGGAACTTTATATTAAAGCTCTTGCCATTTAGGTGTTTGATTAGTGCCAGAGATTGCCTGGTGAACTTTTCTTGAGGTAGGCCACGATGCAGTCTTTGTAGCGCCGATTTGGAGTCCGTCAGCACTACAACATCTTGTGCAGAAAAGGATCGCAGTTTTCGCAAAGCCGCCGTAATTGCAGCGCTTTCTACCGTTGTGGACGAAACCACGCGATCCAGGCGGCCCGACCATGACACGCCCAGGCTGGGTATGCAGAAAGCCGCTGCGCAGCTATCAGTCTGTGTGCACACTGATCCGTCGGTGTACACTTGTAGGTGGCAACGGTACATGGTGCTCAAGTGGTCCAGCGCAAGAAATTTTGCTTCCGCGGCTGGAATGGTGCGCTTCGCTGGTAGATTGGGTACGCTGAAATTGCACGCAACATCCACAAAAGACCATGGCGGGTCCATAGGGCGCCGTTTAGGCAGTTTCAAGCCTAAATATTGAAATGTGTTTAGTGCCGCGTTGAAATGTGAGCCAGTTCTTGCTCTTAGCCGCCGGAGAAGCGCCGTGCCTGCGAAGGACTCGCCCAGTCTTGACAGCTGCGTCAATAAGGCCTGAGACGCCAAAAGGCGGAGCGGAAGAGACTCGGCTTCATTGGTGACCTTCGTGTTTGAAGCCGCCTGAGGGACTCCCATCGCCAAGCGAAGACCCTTTCTGTGCACTGCCTCTAGGCGTTCGAACTGGCTTGGTGATGGTGATATCAGGGGCAGCTGATAAAGAATGCGGCTTGTTATAAGCGCATCATTCAATTTAAGCATGGACCTAGGATTGTTGCCCCAACAAACCCCTGCCATGCGACGAAGAGCGTTGATCCTTTGCACTGATGCAGTTACTATACCATCAACCGCACGTCGCCATAATAGCTTGTTGTCGATGGTAATGCCCAGGAAGCGAACACTTGTTGCACAACGAATTGAGTGGCCTCGAATATTCAGCGACAGACGTGTTGACTTCCGTCGCACTCCCGGGAAGAGCATGAAGGCCGACTTTTCCGCTGATAAAGATAGGCCAAGTGTCAACAAGTGACGCTCAATGATTGAAATAGCGCTCTGTGCTATCCGGGCCAAACGTTTGTGCTGGTACCCTGAGATCCAAATGCAGATGTCATCGGCGTAGATGGATATTTTAACTGCTTTCAGAGCTGAGTGCAGAGTGTCGGGAAGCCTGGCCATGGCAGCGTTAAAAAGCAAGAGAGATAGAACACTTCCTTGTGGGACGCCGAGGGAAACGCGTCTCTCTTCGCTCGTTACATTACCAAGCTTAACACGGACACAGCGGTCTCTGAGAAATTCATGTACGAACCGAAGAGCATTTCCCGACACACCCATGGCTTGGAGCCCGTTCACGATACCTGCCTGAAGCACACAATCATATGCCTTGGCAACGTCCATGAAGACGGCGAGTGTCGAGAGTCCGCTGACGCGGTGGTGTTCGATGTGGCTTAATAGGTCCAAAACACTGTCCTGGGCACTCAGTCGTGGGCGAAATCCGGTCATACACGGTGGCCATCGTCTTCCTTGTTCAAGGTACCAAGTTAATCTTGTACATATTAATCTTTCCATCAACTTAGATACGCATGATGTTAGAGATACCAGTCGATATGACGCGAGGCTCGCAGGATCCTTTCCGGACTTTAGGACTGGCACCACCCATGCTGTCTTCCAAACAAGTGGGATCTCTCCCGTGCTCCAGACATGATTAAATATGTCCAAGAGAGCCCTTTTTCGCTCATATGGTAGATTTGTCAGCATTTGATTGCTGATCAAATCGGGACCCACGGCACAGCGTCTTCTTAATTTGCTAAGTGCCATATCCAGCTCTCGGAAGGTGAATGGCGTATCCATCGTGTGGAAAAACTGGGGTGACAGAGGAATCGCAGCTCCTGCTGGTCTACCAGGTATGTACACGTCTGCGAAATCCTCTGCAAGGGTTTGCAAATCTATCCCTTGTTTCAAAGCGAGTGCTTCGAATGGCCTGTTTGTTCGGATCTTCCCAGAAAGACTATTTATTACTGCCCGTATCTTTGTCAAGGGCGTAAACGTTGATAAACTCTCACAGAAAGCGGCCCATTGATTTCGTCTTAATTTTTTTGTATGGCGACTAATTGCAGCGTTTATCCTGTTATATTCGGTTTTCGCAGACGGATTTCCTTTTGTTCTCATTATTTTCCGCTCCGCTCGTCTACGTGCTGCGCAGAGGTTCTTCAATTTCAAGTCTGGAGCAGGAAAATGGTCAGGCAGTTTCAGCAATGAAGTTGCTGATCGCTTGCTTTGCAACATATCTGCAAACAGCTCACCAGTGGATTTGTCCAACACTTCTCTGTAGGTGTCCCAGCATGTTACATTGCAGAATTGCCGACCAGCAGTTCGAAATCCCAGGATATTGGTGAAGATGGGGAAATGGTCGCTGCCCATCTTGTCTGGAGCCGTGGTCGATGATACCAGAAGGTCCGTGGAGTGAAGTACAAGGTCTATTGCACTCCATGAATCAGGTGGCCTGAAAAATGTAGGTTTACCATCGTTCGCCACACATAAGTCGGCAGCATCTGCAGCTGCTAGAAGTTCCCTGCCTCGAAAATCTACACTCTTATCTCCCCAGAGTGGATGGTGCGCGTTAAAATCACCACAGATTATTCGAGGAGCGGGACATCGAGTGCAGAGGTCCTTTAGGAAAGTCTCCATAGAGACCTTTTTTTCGTGGGCTTATGTACACCGATACCACACTCAGTTTTCGGTTTCCCAGACACACTTGCACAGCAGCGACTTCCAGTGAGTTGGAACAGAGGTCTTGCACTGGTAGGGTGACGTGAGGTATTTCCCGCCTTATGTATATCATTGCGCTTCCATTTGCAAACGACGTTATGCTCGGGTTGCCGTGTCGGATGTACCCTGGGAGCGTCCTTGCATTCGGTAGACCGGCTTCGGAGAGGGCTAGAATCGGTATTGGAATGTCGCGCAGGAAAAGGTTGAGTTCGCACAGGCGTTTTAGAAGACCGGCGCAGTTCCATTGCATTATTAAGGGCACTTTTGAAGGACGAAATAGACCAGGTGGGCGAGACAGCGCCATTATTCTACTGTGTGTTTGTGGAAGCAGAGCAAAGTAACACTGACTCTAGAGCCAGGACTGCTCCCAACATAGCCTTCGTTGAACTCGCAGGCATCTTAGCGACGTGTGAACGCAGTGCTGTGAACAGAGCGCGAATAACGTGCTCGAGGTTTTCTTGCTGTTGGCTTCCAGATGGTACTTGAGATGGGCTCAGTGCATCAGCGTAGGTGCGCTTGGCGGACTCTTTCGTGATACATTTCTCACCAGCGTTGAGCACTTGCGTTGACTCAGTACCAGCTCTTGTCGGATTTAGGCGTGGAAAATTTCCTGCGCACTCGTTATCCGAAACGCCAAGTTGTGGCGCGCCGGAAGTCTTCTTTGTGAGCGATGGTTTGTTCACAGTCTTCGGGCCGAGGACAAACGTCTTATTTTTTCGCTGCGCAGCTGTTCGTGCTGGACATCGGCCGTAGCTAGCTGGGTGGTCGCCGCCACAGTTTGCACACACAAGTTTTCTTTACTTGTACACGTCTTAAAGTCATGAGGCCCCCCACAGCGCTTACACCTTTGTTCCCCACGACAGTGCTTGGCAACATGTCCAAAACGCTGACATTTAAAACAGCGTGGTGGCGTCTCTACGTAGTCTACCAGCTCGTGTCTGGTGAAGCCAAGGTTGATTTTCTCTGGACGTTCCGAATTGGGAGCGAATGTGAGAACTACAGAGTCAGTGCGCCTTGATTCCCATTCGGTGGATGAGGTTTGGACTCGTCGTATGATCCTTCTTGCGTGGTATACTCCCTGAGGTCTCAGGTAGGTTAACAGCTCTTCGTCCGAGTACCATCTTGGGACCCCTTTTATAATGCAGGTATTTTTCATGTAGCTGTGTGGTACACGCGCAGATATGGCAAGGCCGCAGATAGTGTTTGTCTCTAGAAGCATATTAGCTTGATGTTCTGTCTCTATATCCAAAAGCAGGGCTCCCTGTGCTGTGAAACGGCTCTTAACTGGGGCTCCACCGAGAATCGTTTCAATTTCCGAGTATAGGTGAATAGGATTCACTTGCCTCAAGTTAGCTCCTTCGTATGTTGGAGCGATTAAGACAGGAATGCCCACCGTCCTGTCTTTGCGATGTCGTACAAGGCGGAAACCACCCTCGTCCATGTCTTGATCTGTGAGGTTCGCCCCGTTGTGGTCCCCGACGACAGTTGATTCGTCCTCTGATTCAGCGCTGTGTTGTCGCTTGCAGTCAGGTATGCTTGCGCAGACCAGCTGGTGCTTCTGACCTTGTGTCACACCTTGGGAGGTCATGGCGGCGCTCTCCCTGATGCTTGTCTCGTTTCTTCTAGCACCTTTCGACGCGGCGGGCTGCGCAGCACCCGTCGGTCGCCGATACGGCAGGTACCTTTTCGAGTCGTCCGACGTCTTGAGCAGTGCTGAGCCGTAATATAAACAAAAATAAACGATAACAGCAGACAGAGCTACTTAGCCAAGCAGCAACAGCTTCGTCGTCTTCTTCCTCCAATAAAATTTACATGGACATAAATTTCTTCCTGCTTGATTTTTTCTACGCCGATTTCAATTTTCGTTTTCGAGAAAATCAAATCTATGCACTCACAGATCTTTTCGGTTGTCAGCGAACCGAGGTCGTAAAAACGCTCGTTTCGAGTTGACATGATGAAATCAACTTTTCGGCGTTTTCGAGAGGTCTCAAGAATGCTGTAGTTTGACGTGACAAAAACACGATGTGGTTTTGAGGTACTGAGGTACTGCCATGGATATATATTTGACCGTCTAGCCTACACTGATAGCTTCCTCAAATAGCAAGTTTCTACAAAAAACATTACGTGTATCTCAGCAGCCTTTTTCCGTAACCTCTATACGATGCAACAAACAATACAAGGGCAAGGATTGAAATGTCAGTTTCTTTATTTCTGTATTTCTTAAACATAATCATGCGAAGCGTATGTGTCACGTTCCTCTATTTTCGTCTTTGCGTTGCTTATGCGCTAAAATTCTTGAACTCAAATGAACCCAACCAGAAATGAAGAAGCACCTATAATGAGGGAAGATAGGGGGCCGCTAGGACGGGGAGTTTGTCCCATACATATTTACCTAATAAACGAAGGGGGGCGCTGCGATAAACCTTCTCCACATCCCTTCACTGAAGGGGAACCCTGCTCACGTTTATGACTACGTAAATTGCGTAAATTCCAACATACCCACAACTTCAAGTAAATAGGAAGAAGGCGATAGTTACCCAACCAATGGCAGGCACATCACCATATAGTCGAACCCAGGGGCGTGACCAAAAATTTTTTTCGCGGGCGGGGTTTCAACTATACCTTATGTATGTGTGTGCATGCGCTTGTATGTGTGCTTGTATATATACGCAAGCAAACTTGAACAATTTCGGGGGTAGGGTGTAGTTGGAAACCCCTTATCCTGGCTATACGCCACAGGTCGCCCAACTTTGACGGGATATTCCGTAGTTATAAAAGGTTGTGGCTATACTGCAACCTCAAAGCTTAACAAAGAGTGTTTAATAAAGAGCAGTGATACAACATATAGAAGCACCTTAAGCGAAGGCTCGTTTGTAAACCTGCGTATAAGAGTGGTATAGTCCAGATGCAACTAACAAGCGCTCGTCCGTTTCTCGTGTTTACGTTAAGCTACGTTAAGAATGAACCAACAAGTCGCTCTGCTGACTAACAAAGCGTCTTTAATAAATAGCAGATACAACACATCTGAAAGACTTGCTAAACATAGAAATGCATTAGATAGGAACGCCACCAGCTTCTTAACTTCATTGGCGTCTGTGAAGCGGAGCATCGTTTAATTTATTTATTTTTTTCACTCTGCTCGCAGGTTCGCGTCGGCTCTGACCAGTACGTCCACGTCCGGGCCCACAAGAGTATTCAAGGCGACGTCACCTTGGCCGCAGTGCAGGACAACAAGTCACTCAACGACGAAGTGGAGCACTTTGCCTGAGACCCGGTCAAGCATGTTCCGACACCGACTGTGCTCACGAAGTTTGTCTCCAAAGACGGGGAACGAAAATGGCTCGCGCTGAATTGGTACCCTGCGTCGCGACATGTATACAACGAAAGCGGCTAGTCATGGCGTGATTGACAAGCGCGCAAAGCCAGGACATTACGTCTGTAAACGCGTAAGCTAGTCACTTAATCACTCCCGCGCAGTCCCTATACTATTTCGGAGAACTGCGACCAAACAACGATGACCTCGTGTGAATAAAATGTTGATTTAGAAAACTACGTGCGCCGTGTCTTTTGTTTCCGTGCTTTGTAACAGTGAGACAATGGATACCGCACACTACGCAGCCCGGAGCATCAACTGAGCATTCTTAGTTGTGAGGCCATGAGTTCATCTTCAGATAAAACGATTGAAGCTCGAAAGCATATCGCTTTGGAAGTCGGGTTTCGTTTGTGAGAGGAACCGGTACGTTACACGTATATGGAACAGGGGTCTCGAACTCGCCACAGCTTGCGGGCCGCAAGCACAATGTTTATTCCCGCGAGGGCAATGATGATGGAAACGTTGGTGTGGGACGGGTTGTCAAATCTGAGCTAACGTTGCGACTTAAAATATATAACATTTCCTATATCTTGTATATGGGCCATTTATAAAAACGATTTGCCATCAAGGTTCGAGAGATGTGCTCATAATTGCAGGAGGCCAAAGATTAATGCGAGTAACATTTATCAAGGTGACGAAAGTAGGGTGTGCGAATATTCAAGCTTTTAGTTCAAATGGAATAACAACAAATCAATAATTATATTGCACTCTCGAATAGGTAGTATGATAAAAGGTTCGAATAATTCGACAGGACGAACATCCCACTACAAAGGTCAATGCTGCAACTTGGTTACTGAGCGGTAGCTTAAGGTAACGTTAACGTCGTTGCAGTAGGTCTTTCGTTAAAACTTGCAACCACGTTCTGGTTCAAAAGCGAGCGCATGATTTAGTCACGTGACCATAGCTATTGCATGATGTTACGAGATTCTAGTTATATACGTCTATAGTTGTTAAGTGATGTTCATTCACGTCTTCACATTCATTCACAGACTCGCCCACTATAGTTTCTTTAATTATCATTACTGCTATTCGCAGACGAATTCGTCGCGCGTGTTTCATGATGATGGTAAATTACGCCTGTTTTCACGACAAGGCAGAACGTATAGCTTAAAGAGCTTCACTCTTCAGAAAACGACATAACATGCACGTCATTTATTGACCTGGATTACAAAATTAAGAACTTAGTTTAGCAAGAGGAAACAATGACGGCTTCTTACATCGTACTGCATCTACCGAAGACCAGGTGAAGACGGGAATGGAGTCAATATACTGACCGAGTCTGTAAGGTACAGTGTGGCCAATCCCCCTTGTGGGTATGAGCCAAGATCTTCTAGGCGACAAGACAAAAGTCTGTTACATTAACTTTATAAACACAGCAGCTCCAATGAACGAAGGTCTTGACATTTAAGATTTACAAGGTCTTAAAAGACTAAGAAAGAAAGAAAGAAAGAAAGAAAGAAAGAAAGAAAGAAAGAAAGAAAGAAAGAAAGAAAGAAAGAAAGAAAGAAAGAAAGAAAGAAAGAAAGAAAGAAAGAAAAGAAAGAATCCACTAATACGTACGAAGAGACATTTTAACACCTACTTTCAATCTGCCCACATAGCTGTTCAGGGGAAGGCTAACTCTGCTAAATGCATTTTATCGAAAATAACGCCCTCACCCGATGACAGGACAAAGAGCTTATAGCAGAGTGTTCCAAAGGACAACTTCTTTAAGTGCTTCTACAGTGCGCTATTCGTTACTGCGGTTAGTGGCTTTGCTATAGAGGCTGTGATAGTGATTCGTGCCACTTACGATACGCTATGTATATGCGTGAAACTTTTATTTGTAATAAAAGCATGTAAGAGGGAAAAAAAAAAACGTTGAAAGATTGACACTCCGTCGTTTTCTCTTCCTATTCGCTTCTCGTCACCTCCTTTAATTTTTTCTGTATTCACCTGAGCTGCGTAGCAAACCGCGCATTCCTTTCTGGTTAAGCCTCGCTAGACTTCCTATCTCTAGGTTAATATAAGTTTCCCCAAAGAACCCGATACGCTTGCCTAAGCACCACATATAGGTTATACAAATAATGCACACCCACCAACACCCATCAAATTATCGAAAACGAGATTAGATTTGCAACATGCCATAGCTGTTTTATAGTAAGCGATCATGTACCATCAATACAGGCGTTGAAGTGAACGTGTAGGTGTCGATTCGGCGTTCTATACAGGCTACCTGATGTGGCGACGCATGTGAAAAAAATACATATCTTGCTTCAAATCGAATTCACGATGAAGGATGCAGGCATATAGAGGACACAGATAGCTGTGTACAGGTGAGCTTTTTGCCGACAACAGGAATTGTGTGCCCGTTGACGATGTTCTCAATCAAATATAATCTAATTACAGAGTGGTTTCTGTGCGTGTTTAAAACCACGAATGTGCTCTCACCCCGAAAAATCAAGCACGAAACTCAAGAAAATTTCATTGCATGTAACAAAAAGGTGCCGATATGCATACTTAAAACATGCACGACTATGAAGCACGCAATAACAATTTGAGATGGCGGCCATGGCGCAAATCTGGTCTAGCCATTGAAATATAAAACTGTAAACAAATTTTCATATGTTTTGTAAATTCTGCACACTAAAAGCCTGGCGCTACTTGCAGTGTCTCTCTCCGTCGAAATTACACGTTAAGTGTGGTAACAAGGGTGGCTGGCAAAAACATGAATTGATGAAACAACGAGTGAGTTAGTGAGGAAGTGAGTTGCGCATTCCTGTGACACTGTGGGTACGTTAGTACGAACAAATGGAGCGCAAATGTACTCCAAACATCAAAATTTAAATCTGTAAGTGATTCTGGTGAATGTTAAGCATGCCCAGTGTGTACCGTTCATTCATACAGCGCGCTTAGTTGTCCATAAAAAATAATAAGACGGAATTATTGATTGTAGCTAGAACTACCTCAAGTGTGGTGTTGTTGTGCCATCTATTGGCGTCTAATCTCGTTGAACGCTTTGAGTTTTCACTAGCAACCACCACGCGGCAGCACGCACCAGCGTAGCGCTTAACACATTGCGCTGGAGATGGCAGCACTATACCGTACGTTACTTTGGGCAGCTTTCCTCAAGCATCCGAAGAATGGGTATGGGTGACGTACAAGTCACGAGAACTGAGTCATCGTAGCAGCGCGCGCTTTCAGTGAGTTGTCACAGATTAAAAGCTCGCCGCTTCCTAGTTTCCGCTTTGTATAGCTCGAAAAGCAATCGAGTCAATCATGCCTCTCTGTGGTGGACTCTCTGAGCAAGTCAAGGATGCCGATGACACAGTCAAAGAGATCTGCGAAAAGGTAAAAAAAACTCCATTTCTTTTCGTTAAGTAGGAAGTAGAGGCCCGGCCGATCGGTGGGCGTGATTGTTTGTTTACGCCATTGATTCTGGCCGCAGGTTCGCGCCGAAGTGGAAGCGAAGCTGGAGAAGTCCTTTCCAGAGTTTACGCCTCTGAAGTATCGCACGCAGCTGGTGAACGGCATCAACTATTTTATTAAGGTTGGTGTCACGTACCACTTGAGCGTTTTGGCGCGCATGCACGCTTTGCGACGCGGCCGGGAGCCCTACAAATCGTGACAGTTCCAGCACATTGACATATATGTGTAGTACCTGTGGTAGTACTCAGAAAAGTCCCATGTACTATACAGTTTGCTTTTATGCGTTGTTCGTCTGCATTCGTTACCGCCGCTTGGTGGCACATGAGATTGGTATCCCTCGATGGGCGTCTCCGGCGCGCTCACTCCGCAACTATTTTTTCCGCGTTGATGGGCGTGTATGTGTTGCGATTTTAGCCGGCTGGACCCTGCATGGATACTTTTCATATCAGTGAACGCTCGTTAACTAACAACTTACAGGCGGGGATGTACGCATTAAAGGCAAAAAAAAAAGGGGGGGGGGGAGAAAAATCAACATCTCCTTACGTTGTAAAAACAGCTTTTCAGTCTTTACTTGATTGTAAGACATGGAACTGTCACACGTACCGGGTTTAGTCTGCTGTGCCATTTTTTTTTTGTTTTCTTTTTCATTTCGACCCGATCTAATCGAAACGCGGGTCACGGGAGCTTTTAGTTGGTAAAGCTTCATGATAGCTGACGACAGGGAGGATCCGTTTACATACGGCATCATGTGTGAAGGATGACTATTTTGCATATTAATATATACACAATTAAGTCAATTTTCGATAGGCTTGATGGTAATACGAGACATTGATATTGTATACAAGCAATCTCACGTGGTTCGGACGCGCGCGTGTGATCGTGACAAATGCCACCTGGCCCGACAACAGATGCCAAGAGAGAGAGACGAGAAAAAAGGAAGGCAGGGAGGTTAACCAGATGCTAGTATCCGGTATGCTACCCTACACTGGGGTTGGGGAATAGTGGGTTGAAAGAGAACTGAGGGAGAGTAAAAAAAAAAAAGCAACAGATGCCAAGTGTACTATTGTTATTAATGCGCTGGAATTAGGAGTGTCTAAGTGTGTTTGTGGGGGGGGGGGGGGGGGGGGGGGGGGTGGCTTTGTGCGACCGCGGTGAAGTCGCATAAAGAGTCGCGACGAAGAGATGGTGTTGGGAATAGATATAGAAAAATGTTATATGAGGCTAGGTAAGGCAAATAATCTGTACTGAAGTAAGATGGGTTAAATGTTACTGAAGCAGATGAAAGCAAATAGGTGCAAATAAAGATGTTTGACAATAAAACTAGTACTCAACGTAGATATATGTAGGGCTCTGTGTTTTTGGAGTTTATTCTTCTGGAAATTTGGAGGAAGATTCCCGAGGTTTATATATTTATTTTTTAGAGGAAACGCGACATTTATCACATTTTTTTCTCTCGTAACTATCCAGTTCTCCAAAATTTGGTGTATAATTTCGCACTATGAGTTGTAGCAGTGTCTTATTTTTATTATATTTCCAGTGAAAATGTTGCTGTAAATTCTGTTTTTCCAACATTTCATTTTTTCCTCTCTCTCATTTACCATGTGAATAAGGCTGTTTATGTGCACTGCAGTAAACTTACCCAAGTCTGCTTCTGGACGAGCAGCAGCTTGTTGAGCTGCTTCTCAGCCTCTTCTTTCAGCCTCCACCATCTTGCTGGAAAATGAAGGACCTATTATTATTATTATTATTATACTCCGAATTCTTAGATGAATTTATGTCATAATACGAAAACAAGCGTACACATAAAGTGTTTTTAGATCTCTGGAAGGTCTGAAAGTGCAAACTCATACTTACAAGCACAAATACTTGAATACATAACACCTACATACGTCAACGCAAAGATAACGTGCCCTTAAACGCACACTCATTTCCTTCAACTTTAAAGCTTGTTGAAATAGAGGCAACCATGCTCTATCAGGTTGCTGTTGCTGATGGAAGTGCGGTTTTTTCGATTGATGATTGACAGCTTTCAATGCCCTTTTAAAATCGAAGCTGCCCGGATAAACGCGCATTGTCGCAAATGTTATCGGCTTGTGCTTATCCGAAATTTTCGGATTTAGTCTGAAAACGCGGAGCCCTAGATATATGTAACTAAATGACTACGTATAGGATGGTATAGGTAACTGTAATTGAACTTAATGATATTTACAATTAAGAACAGCAAACTAGTATACGACGTAAGTGTACGCGTCTCGCGGCGTTTACTTAATCGCCGCTGAGTCTTTTAAACACCTTTCTGTGCTTCCGTTTATTTATTTATTTATTTATTTATTTACGTTTGCAGGTTCACGTAGGTAACGACCAACACATCCACGTCCGTGCGCACAAGGCTTTCCAGGGCGAAATATCGTTCTCTGCTGTGCAGGGGGACAAAAAGTTGGAAGATCCACTCGAGCATTTTCAGTGACGGTATACGGCCAACGGTGTCACCTTTCATATAAGTGGCAAAATAAAAGGAACAAATTTCGTGCGATATACTGTTGCGTTCGAACTTCATCATGCCGGTCATTTTTCTGACTTCAAGCCAGCGTGGCAGCTTGGGCTAGTTGGTATGACATGACGACAGTTACAGCGCGAGAACAAAACGACGACACAGAGACAAGAAGAGCATGTGTCCTTTCGTGCCCTTCTTGTCTCTGTGTCGTCGTTTTGTTCTCGCGCTATAACTATCGTCAAGCCGGCGTTGGGCTGCACGTTGCCTACACTCATCGATGTAGTCACGTGATTCGACAGCGCCAAAATCGGAACAGTTGCGCATGTCGCATTTCAGGGACTATACACCACATATTCGACATGCAATGATACGGTATATATTGTCTTGCCTCTAGATCATTCTCTTCACGAACCTTCTGGAAGCAGGGATTCATCTTGAAGTTCGTTACAGTGCGACACTAAACGTGGACAAAAGAAAAACGCTGCAGCGAAGTTCAAGATGAATACTAACCAAATAGCTCAACTTGTCGCCTTACAGCAGGGAGACGTCACGCCTAACGTAATTTTAATTCGTTTCTGAGGGTAACCTGCTCGTGTCTAAGCCATATGCTGAGAAAACACAGGACAAGGTGTGCACCACGTTCGTAGTTAGAGAAGAAGGGGGAATGTTAGACACCCCCCCCCCCCCACTCTAGTGGGAGTGGTTGTAGTACTTGTTGCGCACAGAATACATCGCTGTACAGGTGCACCTCAATGTACCTGTTTCGCACTTTACCTCCTGCGAGGAGCAGCACGCTAGGGGGATGTACGTGGCTGCGAGAGGCGCTGGTTCCTGCTACCCATGCGAGAGCGCACTGGAGGCCGCCTTTTCATTTCTCTCTTTGAAATATACGCCACTCAACCGTCGCATGCTATCACGCTCAATCAGAGCGTCTGAACGCAATTTCTTGACTTTTTGAGCTGCTCATTGTACATTGCCTTTACCATGCAATGACTGCCAATTTCCAAGCGAATGTACACTTTGCTTGGCGTTTTGTTTGGCACGGTTTTCAGTGACATCGCCGACGAAGAGGGCTGATTTTATTGATTGATTTGTAGGGCATATGATTATGAGAGACGCCGTAGTTGAGGGCTCCAGAAATTTCGACCACCTGGGATTCTTTAACGTGCTCCCAAATCTGAGCACGCGGGCTCACATTTCCGCCTCCATCGGAAATGCAGCCGGGATTCGATCCCGCGACCTGCGGGTCAGCAGCCGAGTGCCTCAGCCACTGGACCAGCGCGGCGGGGCAACGAAGAAGGAAACGTGCACTGAATCGGTGGCACTGCGGTGCGGTGCGGGAGTGAACGAAAGCAGCTGGCGTGCTCCGTTCAGCAGCCGACCCGTGAGCGCAGCCGTTTCGAGCTGTGCTTCGAAATGTCGCGTAGGAATTGTTGTGTCGTAAACTGTGCCAATAACTATAAGGACTACGCACCTATAACAAAGTTTTTCAGTTTTCCGCCGTAAGGCCGCGTTCACACTGAGCATTCCGGCCGCCGAAAGTGCTCCGAATCCGGTTCGGCGGCGGCGAGTTCCGCCGGAAGGACCCTCTCCGCGCCGATCGCTCTCGGACCGATTTTTGCGGCGTCTGCCGCCGAACCGGTCACTGCGGACCAATAGGAGCGCTAGTCAAGGAATTTTGAAAAATGGCGGCCAAGCCCTACTCACTTGTTATGCCGCAGTGCACGTAACTGAACGTTGAAACCAACGGGAGTTTAACCTACTCTGTGCCTACTTCACCTCCGTATTTCGTGAAAGAGGTAACCGAGCTTGCTGTTGGCGTGACCGAGCTTGTTGCGGTCTTGCAGAGCAAAGCAAACCCACCAACGCCGCTGGCGTCGGTGGTTTTTCTGCTCTTCGTGCATTACAAGACAGCCACTTGCCAGCAAAGTAAGCAGTACTGTCTTTTCTTGCTTCTTGTGTACGAGAATCGTCAAAGTATACACCACCGGATAGCGTAGTGGCGTTTGCAAGCCGCGACAACAACCGGATGACAGCGCATCCATCCCGCGTTCGCCCCGTAGTAGATGGCATATTCGGCGGCGCGGGGCGCGTCCAGTGCGAACGACGCTGCGTTTCGGCGGCAGGGGAATTTCGGTCGCTGTAGAAAGCGGATGTTTCAGTGTGAACTAGGCATAACTGTGCTTCAGAAACCGGCTGAAACATCGGATTCGTTGTTCTTTTTTATTTAGTTCTTTGAGCGCCTTTATGTACAGATATTGCTACTATGGCTAGGGACATCGGACAACACACATACAAAGTATAAATATTGAAAGAAGAAGCAAGCGAGAAAGGAAGAAAAACAGGAGGAAATATAGAAAATAGTATACGTTAAAGCGAAAAACAATGAAAAAGAAAACTGGAAAAAGGAACAAGACAGAAAGATAGCAGAAAAAAATACCAATAGAAAGACGGCTGTCCAGATATGAACTTTCTTGAACCATACTTATTCTTCTACGTCTGCAGCAGCCGATGGGACAATCCCCCCCCACACACACACATAAGTTAGTGCTCTTCAGCATTTTCTTCCTTATTTTTAGTACCCATTGGGCACGTTCACCAATATCTACTGAAGGGAAAGTAGAACAACGGTTCGATGGCAAACTAAAATGACCCCCCCCCCCCCTCCCGCCAAAAAAAAAGTTAGCCCTAAAATGCGTGTAGATTAGCATGTCGCCGTTCATCGAAACGCTGCCGCTTCACCCGGGATTCGCATCTGCAACAATGCACCTGTAACCTATTGCTCAGCCGAACCCCGTAACCGTCAAGCCCCAACGGTGAACTCCTTGCTCTTCTGATCACGCCGACAGGTGTCATATATGCAAATAATGAATTGGCAGACCTTTGATGTACAGTTCCGTACGAATCGCCCCTTATCGGAAAGAGGCCTGCGCGACACTCCGCGTCTTTCCCAAAGAACGCCGCCAGACTGTTTGTTCTGTGATCTAGAGGTACGACAGAACTGACCATCCTAAAATCACGGTCGAAGGTTAGCCGCACCCTGACGCACCGCCGTTGAAGTGTCACAAAAATCTCTCCATCCGCGATAAGCCTTATCTTAAACGGAAGCCGAGACGGACGCGTAAGAAATAATGGACGAAGCCCGCAGTGTATCTGTGCACAGTTACAGTTGAGCTAGTAGAGTCTTATCGCTGCCTTTTCCTGATAGTAGCACGGTCATCAATGCAGCGTATAAGGCAAACGGTGGCGACTCGGCGGAAGCACTTCCCATATGGCTCAAGTATACTTGATATTAGACCACCTGGAAAAGCACGCATGCGAAGAGGGAGTATAGAATCAACTGTCGTAGACCAATTTGTCACTGTGCAAGATGTCTACAAGACAATGTGCACTGCTGCGTCTAATATCCCAGATACCTTCATTACCTCTTCAACCAAACTACGAAGCGTGCCCAACGATATAGAATTGGGATAAAGAACATATGTATAAAAATGTATGTGTTAAACGAACACACTGAAACACTAAACGAAGTTAGATAAATTATTCCTTGATAACTGTTAGTTAGCCAATACAGGTTCATTGTAAGAACCGAAAAAAAATGGAGGTCGCTTGAGCTTCGCCTTCAAGAGCAGATCGCGGAAGCATTATCCGGCCTCTTGCGCATCACCTCCTGAACTTCCCGCCTGCTACAGATCTCTGCATGCCTCAACCATGCAATGAGGAAACGAACGACAGTGCGCGTAACATGAGCCGTTTCAAAGTATCAGTGAATGCCTGTTTCAAGAACAGTTGTCAAGTGACCATTACGCCATAACTATTCCTTTTGCGAATCTGCGAAGGGCCCACTAGGCATGCGTAGGGCAACCCGCGAACCGTCGCAGCTGTTCACTTTGTGAATGGTTCTGCTGCGTTCAAGCCTTTGTGCTGAGCAAAATTACATACTGCCTGCCGTATACCTACGCCTAACGACAGCTGACAAGTCTACACTCCTACGGAAGGTGGACACGGTAGCTCTCGGCCTACCGATACGCACCTTCACGAAGAAATTTTTCACCCGGGGACTCAACAATACGCTAGAGGAGATGATGGAGACCCCACCTCACGGCGCAGTACGAGAGGTCATTGCGAACACCAGCCGGTCGCTATAATCTTGCAGAAACCGGCAACCGCGACACCCCTACATTGTCTCCGAAAACCAATATATCCACCGTTCAGAGGACACATCTCAAAATTCTAGCCACAGCTGGGAATATTAATCCCACGTGTCACACGGAACGGCAGATGGAACGTGCCAAGGCCCTTTATACCTGCTTTGAAACTAAAAACTCGGACCATCTCCCCGAATGGTTGATTGATTGATTGATTTGTAGAGTTTAACGTCCCAATACCACCATATGATTATGAGAGACGCCGTAGTGGAGGGCTCCGGAAATTTCGACCACCGGGGGTTGTTTAACGTGCACCTAAATCTGAGCACACGGGCCGACAGCATTTTCGCCTCCATCGAAAATGCAGCCGGGATTCGATCCCGCGTTCTGCGGGTCAGTAGCCGAGATCTCCCCGAAGGGAACCCTGATGGGAGGCGAAGCCGCAGCGGTGCGCATGGCGTCGACCCGGTTGAAATGGCGTCGAGGCGGGCGCTGGAAGAACAGTTTGAAGTGAAACTCAGTGTAGCGTCGCTTGTGCAGCGCGAGCATTCGGTTAGCAGACGCTGCCTGCGTCGGCCTTGCGAGGCGAAAGGGAAGGGAGCGACAATTTTGCGGGTGTCTTCCTGGGACGGCACGAGACGCAAGAATGCGCATTCTGGGTGTACGGAAGGACAGCGTTACACAGGCTAGTCAAACAGCTGCCTCGCATCTAAAAGAAAACGACGTACGTTAACGCGGCTGAGACACACGGAGGCAGGCCTGTGTTTTTCGGCCGCCATAGTGAACTGTGCAGGGCTGGACATATCGGGAGGATCAATAAAAAAACTAATTAAGACGTGGGTCACGCGTGGAGTGCAAAGGCAGCCGTGAGAAAGCAGGGGCTCCTGGCCGAC